ACAGGTGTCATCCTTTCCCATGTGCTGAATGACAGCGCCATAACGGGACTTATTGGCATCTGAGAAGGCTAGCGTGGCTAAAGGTAGGGAGTTTTTGCAGGGGGAAGTATGTGGCTGAGTGGTCATTTCCAAACAGGCCAGGCTGGCCAGTCACTTATCTGGGGGTGTGTGGTTATCCAACTCTCCCGTGAACCCGGACATCATTAGTTGGAAAGCCAGAGAGTCTGCCCATAATGTTTGGGAATACTTAAGAGGAAAGGGAAGTATAATTTTGTCAGGTTCCTTTCCTAATATGTGCCTGGCTGTTTGTCGGGCCTTAATTGCTAACTTGAAGGCAATATCATACTTAGAGCTAAGCCTAGTTAGGTCTAAGGTAGCCAGGTGGATCCACACCAGGGGGTCTTGCTGCCATTGCGCCCCCAAGATACCATTTTTAGTCCAGAGGATTAAGGCCAGTAATGGTTCTGCTGGGTCATGACGTCGGAGTGACGCAGACCAGAGTATATGATCTATCTTATTAAGAAGATCCTTAGCTGACTAGGTGAGAGGGATCCTTGAAGTTGGTGAATTATGGCCTTCCAGCAGGGAGAACAAGGCCCAGAATTCCAAGTCAGGGACTGGTATAAATTTTTTGAGCCAGTTTATAGTCCCACAGAGTTCTTGGAGCTCCATCAAGGTATATACAGTTTTCTAAAAGATGGAAAGGTTAAGTGGTTTAATTACAGTATCTATATGGTAGCTAAGAAATGTGAAAGGTTGGATGTATTGTAACTTGTCTCGCGCAATGTGGAGACCTAGACATTCTAAATCGGCAAGCAGACTGGGTATTGCAGCCTGTAAAGTATTGTGAGATTTGTATGCTAGCAGTATGTCGTCCACATAGTGGATGACAATTAGGTCCTTTGGGATGTTGGTTAAGGCCTTATTAACATATAATTGACAGATTGTGGGGCTATTTTTCATACCCTGTGGTAGTACCTTCCATTGGTATCTCTTGGCTGTTCTTTGAAAGTTGGG